AGTGAGAGTTACAGCTGGAGAACTGGGAGGACTTCTAACTCATGGGGGCAGTGGAAGCCTCAGGGCTCCTTCGCTCGGTGCGCTTTCTCCCTCAGGCTGTCACTCTTGCAAAGAATCTCCAGCTGATTCTTCTGACCTGGGCAGACTGAGCTGCACGGTACAGATCGACTAGGGCAGGACAGCTCTGCTGGAGGCCAGATGCCTCTGGGGTGACCCTGCCAGGCCCACACTGGGGTGCCCCCCCCCACACACACACTGGCTCTGTGGATGCCACTCCCCCTGCCAGGCCAGGGCCAGAGTGGGAGCGGGGGGGAGTGAGATGGGATTGACCCTTGGGCTCTCCTACCCACTCAGGTTCTGTGAGGTGGCCAAGGAGAACGGCATGGATGTCTTCCGGGTCTTTGACTCCCTCAACTACATGCCCAATCTGCTACTGGGCATGGAGGCCGCGGGCAACGCTGGCGGTGTGGTGGAGGCCGCCATCTCCTACACCGGTGATGTGGCTGACCCCAGCCGCACCAAATACTCCCTGCAGTACTACATGGGCTTAGCCGAAGAGCTGGTGCGGGCTGGCACCCACATCCTGTGCATCAAGGTGCCTGGACCCCTGCACCCCACCCCAGGATTCCCCCAGCCCCTTACCCATCACCCCCACAATATGTCCCCCTCATCATGCCCCCTCCTCACCGCCTCTCTCCTTCTTGCCCCAGGACATGGCAGGGCTGCTAAAGCCGATGGCCTGCACCATGCTGGTCAGCTCCCTCAGGGACCGATTCCCCGACCTCCCACTGCACATCCACACCCATGACACATCAGGGGCAGGTGTGGCAGCTATGTTGGCCTGTGCCCAGGCTGGGGCCGACGTGGTAGATGTGGCAGCTGATTCCATGTCCGGGATGACTTCACAGCCCAGCATGGGGGCCCTGGTGGCCTGCGCCCGAGGGACTCCCCTAGACACAGGTAGGAACAGCGGGAGTCCACGGCCACTCCCCTCACGGGTGTGGTCCTCAGTAGTCCTAGTGGAGTCTGGCCTTTGCTAGAATCCAGATGTTTCCTGACCTTGCCTTCCTCACCCACATCTGAGATGGGGCCTGCGCTGGCTCTGGGGTCCTGGGAGGAGCACCTGGGAGCTTAGCATATTTTCCTGGCCTCCCTGCAGGGGTGCCCCTGGAGCGTGTGTTTGACTACAGTGAGTACTGGGAGGGGGCCCGGGGATTGTATGCGGCCTTTGACTGCACGGCCACCATGAAGTCTGGCAATTCGGACGTGTACGAGAACGAGATCCCAGGGGGCCAGTACACCAACCTGCACTTCCAGGCACACAGCATGGGGCTTGGCTCCAAGTTCAAGGAGGTCAAGAAGGCCTATGTGGAGGCCAACCAGATGTTGGGCGACCTCATCAAGGTGAGCTAGGCCCAGTGCTTTTATCCCTGCTTCTGGGCCTCCATAAGATGCCAAGCATCCTAACCCAGGGGCTTTTCTTCTTAGGTGACACCATCCTCCAAGATCGTGGGGGACCTGGCCCAGTTCATGGTGCAGAATGGGCTGAGCCGGGCAGAGGCTGAAGCCCAGGCAGAAGAACTGTCCTTCCCTCGCTCCGTGGTAGAGTTCCTGCAGGGCTACATTGGCATTCCCCACGGGGGGTTCCCTGAGCCCCTCCGCTCTAAGGTAGGAAGGCCCAGCACAGTGTGAGGGCGGAGGTTGGGTGCAAGCATCAGACCTGACCCTCTTGCTTTGCTCCCCAGGTGCTAAAGGACCTGCCAAGGGTAGAGGGGCGGCCTGGAGCCTCCCTCCCTCCACTAGATCTGCAGATGCTAGAGAAGGAGCTGATAGAGCGGCATGGGGAGGAGGTGACCCCGGAGGATGTGCTCTCAGCAGCCATATATCCAGACGTCTTTGCCCACTTCAAGGACTTCACGGCTACCTTTGGCCCCCTGGATAGCCTCAATACCCGCCTCTTCCTGCAGGGACCCAAAATTGCAGAGGAGTTTGAGGTCAGTGGCTCTGGCACCTGTCTACACTCCACCCCAGCACCCCTGCCCCTGCATCCCTAAGGACACCACATCTAGAGCTCCAGACTTTGGCTTGGCTGTCACCCCGCCTCACAGGCTGTGGGTACCCAAAGCACCCTGGACAGACCAGGAGGCTAGGCCTTTACAAGTGAGGAGCTGAGGCCCAGGGTTAGGGGACTTGCCTGGGACTGGGTCGGGGGGCTGCTCTACCCAGACTTGTGTGTTCTATTGTCCCCCACCCCCAGCTCTGAGCTTCCGTGCCTTCCCTGCAGGTGGAGCTGGAGCGGGGCAAGACCCTGCACATCAAAGCCCTCGCCATGAGTGACCTGAACCGGGCTGGCCAGAGACAGGTCTTCTTTGAGCTCAATGGACAGCTGCGGTCCATCCTGGTCAAGGACACTCAGGCCATGAAGGTACAGTCCCCCCCACCCCTCTAGGCCCAGCCAGGCAGTAGGGATGGGCAGGGCCTGTGCCTCATGTCTCCTCCCCTCTGCCCTGTCTACAGGAGATGCACTTCCACCCCAAGGCCCTGAAGGATGTGAAGGGCCAGATCGGGGCACCCATGCCTGGGAAGGTAATAGACATCAAGGTGGCAGCTGGGGCCAAGGTGGCCAAGGGCCAGCCCCTCTGTGTACTCAGCGCCATGAAGATGGAGACTGTGGTGACTTCACCCATGGAGGGCACTGTCCGCAAGGTCCACGTAACCACAGACATGACACTGGAGGGCGATGACCTCATCCTGGAGATTGAGTGATCTTGCCCCAGGTTGGCAGCCTGGCCATCCCCACCTCAACCCTTCCATAGACACTGCGCTGCCAGGGCAGGCCCAGGCCAGCCAGTGCCCGAGGTCACAAAGGCCTAGCCCTGGAGCTCCTGTCCTCAGCTGCTCGTGGCAGGAGACAGTCTGCCTGCTGTGGCACATTCCCTTCCTCCAGCCATCTGTCTTTTCCCTGCTGGACAGCTGCTCACGTAGTCATCTCTCGCCAAATAAGGGTCTTCTCCTTGTTGGGAGACTACAGGTGGTGGGCCTAAGACCCAGGGGAGCAGGTTTAGGGGTCCTGTCTCCTGGGAGGAGACCTAGGCTCCAGGTCCGGTCCTGAGAACTTTGCTCAATAAAACTGGCTTCCCCTGCCCTCCATGCCGGGTCCTGTGCAGCACTTCCCCCCCCCGCCCACCCCAGCGCCACTCAGCAGAGGGACAGGGCTGCCTGTTGGGACTCCCCATGGCAGGGGCAGGTCAGTTGTATCCTCCTTGGAGGGTAGGGAGAATAGTAGTGTTGGTTTCAGCCGCTATGGAGCGCCTATGGTATATGCACCCCAAACAGGAGTAGTTGTACTGAGAACTTGGGTAGAGGGGTGCTGTTCTAAGCACTAAACGCCCATTAACGTAGTGAATCAATCACCCGTTTTATGTAAAGGGAAATGGAGTCCTAGGAAGGTTAAATAACTCGTCTAGGACCCCAGAGCTGGTAGGAGGCAGAGGGTTCGGACCCAAGCTGTCAGTGGACTCGCTTCCCAATCACACTGCTTTACTTCCTAAACCCTGGGCCAGCCTCCCACCCCGTTAGTCGAAGACTGCATGCAAACAGACGCCAACTTCTAGGAGGTGGGCAAAACCCTTGGACGTGGGAACCTGTGAGTGAGGGTTTAGTGGGAGGTTAGGAGTATGGATTCAGTCTCAGGATCTAATCCTGCCCATTCCCATAACCAAGCCCTTGGGAGAATCCCTCACCTGCAGGGGGACAGCAACCCTGCATGCATCACTGCACTGCTGCTCACCCCCACCCCCCACAGAGGAGGTGAAATGGGGGCACCGGGCAGTTCCTGAGCAGGAGCATGAGAAGGGGTAGGGCACAGCCCAGGTCTCCCAGTCTCCAGGGGACCAGGCAGGCAGTACACCCCCAGCACCCTGCCAGCCCAGTGCTCTTGGGGCACCACAACCTAATTTGGGGGGCAGTTTTGGGTTTCCTCCTCTTTGGACCCCAAGATCCCAAAGGTACACTCTAAAACAGGGCCGTGCTCACCCCCCTCTGGCTCCCCAACAGCTGCTACACAGGCCGAAGACAGGAAAGCTTCCACAGCAAGGTAGGTGTGTGACTGTCATGACGACCTTTTAGATCCAGGTGGATGTAGTGTAGTCAAAGCCAAGCTGGGGGTGCCCTGGGGAGTGACTGCACACCCATTTCCTTTCAACCACCAGCCTTGGGACTGGGACGGGACTTGGGACCACCTCTTGCAGTCTAGAGTGAGACCTCAAAGTATAATATTCTTTTAAAAGTTAAAGTCCCAGGGGCAAGGGAATGAAAACCATTCAAAAAACAAGAGGAAGGGCAGGTAGAACACTAAAGTTCTAAGAAAAAACCTTGAGTTCCAGTGTTGCTCAGCAGGGTCCTTGGTGTTCTCCGGGCTGCAGTCTTTGTTCTGAGTTCCTCCAGGGACTAGACTAACCACACAGTGGCAAAGGCCAAGCCAGAAAAGCCTCTACTCCCAGTGACTCTGAGCTGGTTCCTCTCCCATTTGGAGCCTGTTTATTCTTCCTTGTGTAATGTGAGGCTGGTAGACTTTGAGGTGGTCCTGGTGGAAAGCCTACAGTCGACCCTCTACGCTCTCAGGGGACACAGGTTGGAGGCTCCATCACTGGGGTCAGGGCCCTAGGTTCCATTCCCTGATCCTGGGAGCCAAGAGGCCCTAGGCTGAGCCAAGTTCACATGTGGCACCTGCAGTCCCAGGTCCACCTGTGCTAGGACTTGGGGCATGGCTGAGAAAGGAAGCTGCAGACCCAAGGCATCTGAGGACCCCATCCTATCCTTGACTTCAGGGAATTGTGCCTACCAGGCTGAACTGCCCAGAGGTTAGTGTTCAAAGTAGCCAAGAAAGGTGGTGGGCACATTGAGATGAGATCGGGCGCGTTTGGAGTGGTATGGCCGTAGACTGGTGGGCACATTCAAAAGACCCCAAATAGATTGATTTCCAAAGGTTCAAGGCCATGTTACCCAAGTTAAATCTCTTTAATATCTCAATACAAAGTCCTGATGCAAAAAGACAATGAGAAAACCCTGGGAAGTTGGGGGGAGGGATTTTGTAAATTCCACCCCCGAGCAGCTTTTCAGAGGCAGATGGGGGCAGAGGAGCTCAGAAAAGCAGCAGTCCAAAGTGAGGAAGGGAGTGCACGGCTCCTGGGACCTGCCCCTTGTCCCCTCACCCCCAGCTGTTCCTCAACCTCCTTTGGAGGGGGGCTGCACCCTTTGGGTATCTGCTCCTTTCTCTTGGTCCCTGGGATTCAACTAGCTGTGGCTTCAATCCCCTACAAAAATTCCTGAGATCTCGGGGACCCCAGCCAGCTCCTCCCCTTGCAGTACCCCTTGGTGGGGAGGGGCTGCGGAGCCCGTGAGAGTTCATCGGAGCATGGGTCAGGAGCACAGGGGAGCCTCTGAGTCCCCTGCCCGCTCCAAAAGCACACAAAGGGGAAGGCTGCCGTAGAGCTTGGGGTCCGTGAGGGGCTGGAGCAGAAGCAGGAAGAGTCCCACACCCAGAGCATAGCCTGCCAGCAGGGGCCGCCTCTGCGGATGCTCCAGGGCTGCGCACACGGCAGGAAAGCCCATGTAATTGCAGAAGGAGTGGCAAAGAACCGGCCCAATCAGGTGTCCTAGGGAGGGGAGATAGAGCAGCTTTTGGAGCATCCGCACCCCCTTCCAGGGCTAATCACCCACATCCCTGAAACAGGACATCAGTGACCGCCCACACACACCACACAGCCTCCGCTCTCCCACCTCTCAGACCTCACCAGGCTGAAAGTCCTGGTTCTGCCAGTCTCAGACCACAGTGGAAGAAACTTGCCACTCCTACAACAAACAACATTCCCATTCTCCCACCCACTCCTGTGGGCCCCTGAGCCCCCGGCGGCGGGGGGGGGGAACGACCCGTCAGAGACTGAGGACCAACCTGTTCGGATGAAGAGGAAAGCAGTGTAGGCACCGAAGACCGCTGTGTAGGAGAACTGGAACGCTGGAGACGGGGAGGCCGCGAGTGACCACACCTGCATGCTCTTCCTGCCCCAGCACTGCACACCCATCAGCCAGAGACATCCCCTTCCCCCGAGGGCAGTGGCTGCCTGCCCCAGGACCTATGGCTGTCCTCTACACCCCAACTCCCATGGCAAGGGGCCCTTCTAATACTGCAGCCCCTGTTCCCAAGTCTTCCTCCAGAACGGCTATCAGGGACACCCTTACACACCCCGACCCAGGACTGCCCCAGGCAAGCTTTCTAGGACTCACCTGCAGACAAGAAGATGCTCCCCACGCTGCTCTGGCGGAAACGAAGCTGCTCAAAAATGTGGTGAAAATGGGCTGGGAGAAGGCAAGAACTAGGTCACATTCCTCTACGACTGCCTTATAGGCCGCACCCTTGCTCTAAACCCCCTTTTTGGCTCTCGTGCCGGGAACATCTCAACAGGACCAGGCTAGACACACTCACCAACTCCAAAGAAGAGTGGGCAGGTGAACACAGCAGGGCCCAGGCCCGTGCATGGTGCTAACATGGGCAGCATGCAGGCCCGGAATACCAGTTCTTCTGTCAGGGGTGCAATCACTTGGTTCCGCAGCCAACGCATGTCTGTGAGGCAGCGGGCCCAGGAGCGAGGGGCTAGGGAGGGGATTCAGGACCGAGAGTTAGTGACTAGCTATTGAACAAAGAGATCCTAGAGGCCCCAAAGGCCCCCCTCCCACAACCTTTCCCTGGCCAAACTCAGATTAGGTATCAATACTCCTGAAAACTGGTAAGAGTAAAACTTTATCATCACACCCAGCACAGAACAATGTTTCAAGAGGACTGAAAGGAAAGGTATTAGTAGCTGAGGCAGAATATCCTGGTAGTAAATTCTGGAAACATCAAAGTCAGAACTCAAGACCAGCTCTGATTTGAGCCAAATGTTAGAGAAGAACCAACATTCTTTAGTCCACACAAAGTACTGTTGCGACTTCCTAGGGGACTCCTTGGATGTCAGAAACCAACTCTTAAGGCCATCTGCTACATGTTCCCATTTTACTGATAAGGAAACAGGTATCTCCTACATCTCCTGTCCATGTCCTGCCACAAGCCCACCTACTCCCTTTCTCAGCTGGGCTGCCTGTGCCTACTTTTTCCCTCAGCCCTAAGGACTCACCTAAGACAACCTTCAACCCATCTGCCAGATCACATGGGCAATCCATAGAGAGCTGCATCAGTGGGCCCAGGAAAAGGATCTGGGGACAGGAAAACGAGTGATCAAAGGAAAGGCTTAAACCATAATCCACTACCCTTGCTCAGAAAAGACCTCATGAGACTTCAAGCCTCCTGTTCTCAGCCAGGATTTCCCACCCATGCGTACCTGAGGGCCAAGGGCCATCTCACAATTTCTGCGGCCCCTCAAAATACAGACACATGGGAAAAAAAGGCCATGGAAAGGAACATCATGCTAAAAACAAAGAGAAAAATAACACGGGCACTCACCATGGTCAGCAGCAGGGGTAGCAGCGCTGCTGGGAAAATGCCCTCCAGCCTGAAGCCCATCAGGGTGAGCAGGGATGTGCCTGGCTGAGCCACAGGAAAGGAGGCATCAGTCTTGCTCTCTGCCCGCTAAAGACCCCAGAGATCCTCCCCCTCTTGCCCTCTGCCCCGCCTCCTTCGCACCTGGATGCCTGTGAGTTCTCTCCAGAGTAGCACGCAAAGCGGCGAGAGACTGGACACCACCAAGACGCTAGTGAAACGCCGCTTGATGACGGCAGGATGGTCCCTACGGAGGGAGCAGTAAGTTCCGGGGGCCCACAGCCGCCTCTGGATAGCGCGGCCCCGCCCCCGGTTCGCCCAAGCTCCGCCCACAGCCCCGCCTCGCGGAGGCGCGGGTTCCAGCCGCGCGCGCAGCCCCCGCACCTGGGCAGCTCACTCTTCCAGACGTAGAGGCTGCCCACGTAGGAGCAGGCAAGGCTAAGACAGGAGAACACTGACACCCAGCAGCACAGCCCAGGGCCTGGACCGCCCAGAGCCGCCGACTCGGGCTGCCGTTCCGGCCGCGATACAGACAGCAGGCGCAGCCCATCCCCGCCCAGCGCCGCCATCGCGCCCGGACCCGCGGCGCGCACCAGTGACGCGATCCCGCCGGCGCTCGACCCGCGCCTGTCGGAAGCGCGGATGACGTCATCCGGCAGCGCGGGCGCCCCGTCCTGACCCCGCCCCCCAACACTGAAACAGAGGCGGCGCGCGCAGAGCAAGTTTATTGAACGACAGACAGCACGCGGCGCCAACAGCTGCTGGGGAGGCGTGGAAGCACGGGGCGTGCCGGGGGGTGGGAATCCCCCAGCTTAGGGCTCAGGGCCGGGACTCAGCCACTCGGATAGATTGGAGACCTCCTGCTGCCAGAGCGAGTCCTGCAGGAGGAAAGGGAGCCCGGAGTGAGGACCCCTCGACAGCGGCCGTCACCGCCTTCCCGCTGCGCCCTCCACTGCGCGGCCCTCGCCCGGTTACCTCCAGGCTGTCCCCGGGGCTCCCCCTGCTCCCGCCAGGCGTCAGGGAGGCCCCTGTGGGCTTCGTGCGGCACGCGGCGGCCTCTGACGGGCTCCGGGTCCTGGCAGAGTGGAAGGCCCGCGTTTCCTCCATGCCCTGCCGGAGGCAGCCCCTCTTGAGCCTCTTGTTTTCAACTTGCTCGCTGGTCCCTAGGCGAAAACAAGCCCACTTTTGCGCCTACGGCCCGTGCTAGAAAGACCCCTGGGGCAGAAGAAAGGGAGGAACTGGTCCCGGCTCTCTTGCCCTCCCACCTCAAATTCCTTTCAATCAGGTCTGTCCGGATCCCAACGCAGCTCCGGGCCTTAAGGCTGAGGCAGCAGAATGGTTTCAGTCTTCACTTGGGGCTTACGCCCACTCATTCACTACACACAGATTTCTCGTGGAGTCCAGCTCCTCCCTCCCTGCCAAGCTGTGATTCCCCCTCCCTGAAAGCCAGCCTCCCCTCTCCCTTCGTAGCTCACAGTACGTTGAGCAGTGCCCATTAACTGATGGACTTGTGCAAATTTAAAGTGAGTTTGTACCCATAGATTCCTTCTAAGCAGGTCCTGAGAATGTAGCTCAATGAGCTGTTTCTGGGTGAGGCTCACAAATGCTAGGAGGAATGCAGAAGTGTGTACAAAGCCCAGGGATTGAACACAGAAAGAAGCTGCTATTCATCCCTAGAGGTGAAGAAGGTTTCCCTGAGATGTCTGAGCTGGGTTTTTAAAGGATGAAGAGAAATATGCCAGACCAACAAGGGAAAGGAAAGGAATTCCAGGTAGAAAGATGCAAATATCCAAAGGCATTAATTAGTATCCCACATAAAATGCAACATGGTGGGGGAGGGTCTAGGAGATGAATCTGAAAGGGTTAGTAGGAATCAGAGAAGACTAAGAAATGGATTTTTATCTGTAGAAAACAGGCAGTGAGGAATTTTAATAAGCACTGGAGATGTATTGTTAATTTTGTATTTAGATTATTCTGTCAGAGGTGTGGCTTAGAGTCAAACTAGAAACAGGAAGACCTCGGGGTGTCTGGGTGGTGCAATTGGTTAAGCATCTGACTCTTGGTTTCGGCTCAGCTCGTGATCTCAGGGTCATGAGATGGAGCCCCACATGGGGTTCTGTGCTCAGCATGGAGTCTGCTTAAGACTCTCTCTCCCTCTCCCTCTACCCCCTGTGCATGCAGGCACGTGCTCTCGCTTTCTCAAATAAATAAATCTTTAAAAAAGGGGGGGGCGCCTGGGTGGCTCAGATGGTTAAGTGTCTGCCTTCGGCTCAGGTCATGATCCCAGGGTCCTGGGATCGAGCCCCACATCGGGCTCCTGGCTCAGCGAGGAGCCTGCTTCTCCCTCTCCCTCTGCCTCTCTCCCTGCTCATGCTTTCTGTGTCTCTGTGTCTCAAATGAATAAATAAAATCTTTAAAAAAGGGGGGGGGCAGGGCGCCTGGGTGGCTCAGTTGTTAAGCGTCTGCCTTCGGCTCAGGTCATGATCCCAGGGTCCTGGGATCGAGTCCCACATCGGGCTCCCCGCTCAGCGGGAAGCCTGCTTCTCCCTCTCCCACTCCCCCTACTTATGTTCCTGCTCTCGCTGTCTCTCTCTGTCAAATAAATAAAATCTAAAAAAAAAAGGGGGGGGGCGGGACATGAAGACCTCAAGAGCCCCAGAGAGTGAAGGCAGCAGGAATGGATGGAGGCACCACCAGGTTAAGAAGTATATTCATGAGGCCAAATCAATAGGCCTTGGGGAGAGATTAGGTGTGATACAGGAGAATGAGTGGCATCCTGAATGAATCTCATTTCAGATGTGAAAAACTGGATGGGTAGTGGTGCTATTAATCCTGGCGGGGGGGCACCTGGAGGCTCAAGTCATTTGAGTGTCTGCCTTTGGCTCAGGTCGTTGGGATTGAGTCCCGCATTGGGCTCCCTGTTTTGACGGGGAGTCTGCTTCTCCCTCTGCCCCTCCCCCCTGCTTGTGCTCTCTCACCCTCTCTCTCTTTCTCATAAATAAAATCTTAAAAAAAAAAAAAATCCTGACAGAGGTAGGACCATGTGACCTCCACATGGAGCTGCTTAGTGAGCAGATAAATCTCCCATCTGGCACTCAAGAGAGGCCTGGGCTGGTCATGCCAACTGGAAAGTCTTGAGCTCCAGAGGCAAAGTTCAATGCCTGGGATGGAAGAGAGCAGCTAGGGAAGGAGTGCTATACAAGCATTGTTTAGGGGGTGGCCAAAGGAAGCTGGCTGAAGAGAAAGATCAGAGGGGAAAATGAGGTGAGTTCACAGTCTTACAGTGCTGAATTCTGTAAAGAGTTCAGGCACAGTAAAGATAAATGTACAATTTGGTACTTATGGAGTCTTCCCAAACAAGAGACCTTGCAGTGCAGACGCCACAAAGAAAGCAAGTGCCCTGGGTTAGGATTAGAGAATGGGAGGAAGAAAGGGAGAGGGTACAGCTTGCTCTTTTGAGAACCCTGGCTGAAATGTGATGGAGAGAAAGAGAAGTTGTTCAAGATCATGGGAGATTTTTTTTAAGTACTGAGAGATTGCCCTGCTAAGGGGAGAGAACTCAGAAGAGAAAATAAAGGTGCAGAAGTGGTAGCTGATGCAAGTAGGTTCTGAGAAAGCAGTAGGGCTAATGCCACCCCTGAGCCTAGCAGGGATGGGGCCCCATGCTGATAGTTTGGGCACTAAGTGTGAAGTAGGGGGCTAAGTCAAGAGGCAGAAGCTGGGTAGACATTTTAAAGAATGGAGTAGCAACTGATGAGAAGGCCAGGAAGACGACATAAAGGACTGATAGCTAAGGACTACCCAGTGAACAGACCATGGATATATGGTGGCATCATCCAACTTTCAGTGATTTTCTTTAGCAGAACTGCCCACGTGGGACATAGGATTGATGGTGACTAGAGCTGCAGCTTTATCAAGCAGAGAAGCTCACCCAGTCTTCCAGAGGGTTCCACCGGATTACATATACCTAGATTTTAAGGCTTATATTGAACAGTGGAAAAAGCATAAACTGAAATTCAGATTATCCACCTGCAAAGCAACCTCTGAGCCTGGCTTGTCTCTTGTGAAATGGGACCAATGCTGCCCATGCCAAAGGGGACCACTGTCAGAGTGGTCACTGTGGGAAAGTCTAGCATCCCCCTGGGTCCACATAAGTTGCTGGATAAAATGTTAATTTCTCCCTTCTAAAGAAAGGAAGAAATTCCTTATTTACTCTTCACTGCATAAATACTGAATTGTATCCACTCTTTTAAATCTCCAAATCTATATTTATATAAATAGATTCTTTGCTTTATACAAGCCTTCACTGCAGGGTTCTTTTCAGTAGCAATAGCCCCCACAACATTTAAAACAAGGCTCAACTGATAGAATGATTCAGTAACACCTCTTAGGCCTAAGTCTGGACAACATGCAGCATGTTGTAGTTGTGACCTTGGAAAGAGGAATTTTACCAACAAAGTATAGGTGCTAAAGTCAGTCCCCAAATTCCCTCAAGCCCAGGTACTGTTTTGACGGTGCATTCCTGCTAGTCTTGGCTCTTGGAGACAGACTAGAGCCAGGCTACCTCAGTTTGAATTCTGGCTCTCCCATTTACTACCTGTGTGACCTTCAGTAATTTTACTGACATATCTGTAAAATGGGAATAGTAACACTACCTCATAGGGTTGTTTTGAGAATTAAGAGCATTAACGCATTTTATTTTTGTTTTTTTAAAAGATTTTATTTATTTATTTGACAGAGAGACGGCTAGAGAGGGAACACAAGCAGGGGGAGCGGGAGAGGGAGAAGCAGGTTTCCCAAGGAGCAGGGAGCCCGATGCGGGGCTTGATCCCAGGACCCCGAGATCACAACCTCAGCCGAAGGCAGACGCCCAACGACTGAGCCACCCAGGCGCTGCTAGCATTAATGCATTTTAAAGCTCAGAATCGGGGTGCCTGGGTGGCTCAGTTAAGCGTCTGACTCTTGATTTCGGCTCAGGTCATGATCTCAGGGTTGTGAGATGGAGCCTGCATCAGGCTCTGCACTCAGTGGGGAGTCTGCTTAAGTTTCTCTCTCTTCCTCTGCCCCTCCCCCCCCCATGCCTGCTACCCCTTCCCCTAAATAAATAAATAAATCTTTAAAAAAGTCATTAAAACCTCAGAATAGTGCCTGGCACCTGCACTGTCAGGCTCAGGCACCAGTGGCTACAGTGATTTCCAGCCATACACACATCCTCTGCCACTGCTGGATCTGAAGGCTGTGTAAGTGTTGGAAGGAGGCGGGGGAATGACCACTATAATCATATCACACACAACAATTCCCCAAAACATACATCAAGGTTGAGGTGTTCTGCACCCAGGAGTAATCTCCAGAGCCCCAAACAGAGCAGTAACTAAAACCAGGGAGAGCTGCATTATCAGCACTAATGATCGAGAAAAGACACAAAGGGATGAACTGGATTCAGGGCCCTGCCCCTCCATGTACAACTATCTTTAACTGCACAAACTTTATGAGGAATTTCTAGTTCTATCATACCAGCTTTAGGGAGAGAATGCCCCCTGCTGCCTCAGAACACCCCTAGTGGCAGTGGGAGCCAACGAAATCCCAGGATTTTGCTGTGGTGGAAGATGCAGTTTGAAAGCTTGAAGTCAACATTTTTTACTTCTCAGCTTTGGTCCTGGGCTCACTTGAAAAGCTGAAACCTTACCTGCAAGGAGTTCCAGGCTGCTGTTCTCATGTGCATCCTCTGTGCTCTGCTCTGCATTTTTCTCTGGAAGCAGCTGCTTTAAAAATCAGAAGTACTCAGTGAGTTTTGTAGGAACATGAAAAAGCCCCAATGAGACAAGTGTGCCTGCTGGCTCTGTTGACCTCACAGGGCTGTCTTCCCTCACCTGGAGCTCCCTCTTACTTCTTCCTGGCTCATGTGAGTCCCCTACCCAGCTCCAATCAAGGCTTCCTTCTGTCAGAGCCTTTGCAACCCATTCCAGGCACTCGAGGCATTTTCTTCCTCCTCCAAACTCTGGTCACCTGCTTACCATCTGCCTCTCTCCTTGGGCTCTGAAGATGCACTGCCTGCCCTTGTTTATCATTTTTATGTGTGTGTTTTACACATTATTTTTTTAAAAGATTTTATTTATTTATTCAGGTATGTAGAGAGTACACACAAGTGGGTGGAGGGGTAGAGGGAGAGAGAGAATCTTAAGCAGGCTCCATGTCCAGCAGGGTTCAGTCTCACGACCCTGAGATCATGACCTGAGCCGAAATCAAGAGTCAAACGCTTAACTGATTGAGCCACCCAGGCGCCCCATTTTCCACACTTTAAATTCCTTGAAAGGTAAGGTTCATTGTGCCAGCATCCCTTTACAGCTAGCATAGTGTACCTTGCACAGATAAGTGCTCAACATATAACTGACTGAGGTCAAACCTGGGAGGCCACAGGGCACGTTTTGTGGTCCTCTGCAGCCTTTCAAAGCCTTGCCACACTTGGGTTTGATTTGGACAGAGAAACTAAGTTCTTACTATGATCAGAACCCAATCCTCCTAGCTTCTTGTTTTTCAAGAATACAAGTACATAAAAATAGACATCCTCTTCATCAAAATTAAAAACTTTTGTGCTTCAAAGGGTGCTATAATGCGAAAACTCAACCCACAAGAATGAAAGAAAATATTTACAAATCATATCTGATAAGGGTGTTGTATTCAAAATAAAGAACTCTTATAATTCAACAAAATAACAGCCTAATTAAAAATGGGTTTGGGGCACTTGGGTGGCTCAGTCGGTTAAGCATCTGCCTTCAGCTCAGGTCATGATCCCAGGGTCCTGGGATCAAACCCCACATTGCATCAGGCTCTCTGCTCAGCAAAGAGCCTGCTTCTCCCTCTCCCTCTGCCTGCCACTCTGCCTACTTGTGCTCTCTGTGTGTCGAGTAAATAAAATCTTTTTTTAAAAAATGGGTTTGATAGATTTGGAGACCTTTCTCCAAAGAAGAGATACAAATGGCCAACAAACCCATGAAAAGACACTCAACATCATTATTCATTAGGGAAATGCAAATCAAAACCACTATGAGATACTTTACACCCAGTAGGATGGTAGTGGTAGTAACAACAACAACAGTAATAACAGACAATACTAGGAGGATGTGGAAAAATTGGAACCATTATACATTGCTGGTGGGAAAGTAAAATGGCCAGTTTGGAAAATAATTTGAAAGTTCCTCAAAAAATTAAACATAGTGGGGCACCTGGCTGGCTCAGTCGGGAAAGCATGTGACTCTTGATCTCAGGGTTGTGAGTTCGAGCCCCAAGTTGAGTGTAGAGAATACTTAAAGGTAAAATCTTTAAAAAAGAAAAAAAAAAGTTAAACACAGAGTTACCATATAACCCAGCAATTCTACTCCGAGATATATAACCAAGAGAATTACAAACATATGTCCACCCATAAATATTCACAGCATTATTCATAATCACCAAAAGTGTCAAGTAACTCAAATGTCCATCAACTGATGTACAGAAAAAATGTGGTATATCCATACAAAAGGATATTATTCAACCATAAAAAGGAAACATTGTCACATGTTACAACATGGATGAATCTTAAAAACATTATGCTTAGTGAAAGAAGCCAAAGGCTACCTATTATGTGATTCCATTTACATGAGATACCCAGTATAGGCAAATCCATGGAGACAGAAAGTAGACTGGTGGTTGCCAGAGGATGGGAGGAGGGGAACTGGGACTGAGTACAAATAGGTACAGGGTTTCTTTTTGGCCTGATGGAGATATTGTGGAATTTAGTGGTGACTGTTCCACGACACAGTGAATATATTTAAAGCCACTGAATCCTACAATTTAAAATGGTAGAGTTAATGGTATGTGAATTGTAACTCAATGAAAAATACTCTTATCATGTATTATTTACTAAATCAAGTTTCAACGTCTAAGTACATTCCAAGGAACACAGAAGGGTAAAGATGGCCCTGATGGTGTGAAAAAATTGCCACGCGCTTTTTTTCTTCCTTCTTTGAGAAAAAGCTTATTCTTTTACTTCATTCTTGCCTAGAAAATCTCATGTAATAGACAAACATTTCTCCTATCCTGAAGCTGGTATCACCAAGGAAATACCCACACTCAGATTTAAAGCTCTCAGCCTTAGATGAATCTTGCATACCCTTCATTCATCATCAATCCCCCCAGATGAGACAGCCCAATCTCTGGGATACACCTCCTTGGATTTAACACTGTGAGACATTTGATTCTGGTCTACCCCCTCATCCCAAGAAATCAATACCTTTCCTAACAAAACTACTTCCCTGTTACTGCTCTTATTTATTATGGGTTTATGTTCTCAGCTGCTACACACATTTGTGACACTAGCCCTGGAGAACTACTTTGTCTATTCCTTCATGGCCCATGTCCTATGTGCCAACACCCGGGTTCTAAATATCCACTCCAGGCATGGCCTTTTCCTAAATATATTCTATAAAACTCTAAATACATATTCTCTCATTTTTTCTACTTCTCCATAAACTATATAATAGCCATAGATTGTTTTATTCTATATTATTCAAGAGTTCAGCCATTCTACTTTATCTGTTTAAAAGTGGAAACTGGGGCGCCTGGGTGGCTCAGACGGTTAAGCGTCTGCCTTTGGTTCGGGTCATGGTCCCAGGGTCCTGGGATCAAGCCCCACATCAGGCTCCCTGCTGAGCGGGGAGCCTGCTTCTCCCTCTCCCTCTGCCTGCTGCTTCCCCTGCTTGTGCACCCTGTCAAAAATAAATAAAATCTTTTAAAAAAATAAAATAAAAGTGGAAACTGAGGGACTGGTCCAGAGGTAAAAGAATTTGACCTATCATCATTGATCTTGTAGTTTTTAGCTGAAGCCATTGGGTGCCACTCTTGTGCCACTAACAAGTTATTTATCACTAGAAGGACATCACCAGAGGGAAACAGTAATGATCTTGAGTGCAGAAGCAGAGGTTCTGCTCATGAGTGCCTCTGATCACTCATCTTCCCTAGGCTATATGGTGTGGAACATTCCTATACTAGTCCTATATGTTAACAATGTTACTAGACTTTGGAACCAGGAGACCTCAGTGCAAAGCCTAGCCTTGACATTTGCTGACTATGGGATCCTGAGCAAATTAGGAAAGTTCTCTAACCAGTCTCTCCATCTATAAAATGGGAAAACTACAACCTATTTTGTAGGATCTTTTTGATATTAAAGTGGAAATCTTGGCACAGATTAAGGATTCAATGACTGTTCCTTACTTCCAAGACCTAGGACTACTGGGTAAGACCTTGAGTTCACTACCCATCTGCTAAATTAATTGGGCTATGAATGGCCCTGAGACTATGAGCTATCACTATGGCAACAGAATGGGGCAAAAGAGGTCAGATCGTTTCCTTTTGCGATCTCACTAGGATATCAGAGAGACCCAAGCAAAAGGTCTTCACAGGATGAAACATTTCTAGATCCTACCCATATATCCTAGGTCCTACGATAATGGCACATGCCTTACCCTGAACCCATCCCTAGAAATCTGAGGTGTGGATGGCTATAGTGAATGGAACAGTGGCTCCCAAAAAAGTATGTCCGAGTCTTGACCCCCAGAACCTGTAAATGTGACGTTATTTGGAAAAAAAAAAGTTCTTTTCAAAAGTAATTAAGGATCTCAAGATAATGGGCGCCTGGGTGGCTCAGTCGTTAAGCGTCTGCCTTCGGCTCAGGTCATGATCCCAGGGTCCTAGGATCGAGTCCCATATTGGGCTCCCTGCTCAGCAGGAAGCCTGCTTCTCCCTCTCCCACTCCCCCTGCTTGTGTTCCTGCTCTCACTGTCTCTGTCAAATAAATAAATAAAATCTTAAACAAAAAAAAAGAATCTCAAGATAAGATCATCATGGATTTAGAGTACGCCATAAATCCAATGACAGGTGTCCTTATAAAAGAGGCAGAGGGAAATTTGAGAGACACAGGAGAAAGGCCATGTGTTGAAGATGGAGGCAGAGACTGGAATGTTGTGCCAAGGAACATCGGGAGCCACCAGAAGCTGGTAGGGGAATGGAAAGATTCTTAGAGCCTTTAGAAGGAGCATAGTTCTCCTAAAACCTTGATTTCAGACTTCTTTTTTATTATTTTTTTAAATAGGCTCCATGCTGGGCTTGAGATCAAGACCTGAAGTGCATCAAAGACTCCAAAGCCTAACCAATTTAGCCACCCACGTGCCCCTGATTTCAGACTTCTGGACTCCAGAACCATGAGATAATAAATTTTTGGTTTTTAAACCATGAAGTTTGTGGAAATTAGTTTGTTCAAGTTGTGGGCAACAGCTTTCCAAGTTGGAGGGAAATCAGCAAGCGTATTTGCAGTGAACTAGTTGAAGGGAATGGCAGATGCATTTCAAGGAACGTGCTTCCTAGAAGGTACATAAAAGGTGTGGTGAAGGGAGCATTTACAGGGATTTCACTCCCATCCTCTAGCCTTTCTAACTATAAAGCAGAGGAGGATAAGTAAATTGATGAGATGCTGTGATCCTTGGGTGTCTAGGCACCTAAACTTCCCCATCTAATCAGGCAAAGAAATAGAAGTGCAAAAGGGCCTATTATTTTGTCAGAAACAGTATCTGTAATTTTTTATAGCAACTTTATTGGAATATAACTTGCATACTTAAACTGCATTTATATAAAATGTACAATTAGGTAAGTTTGGGCTTATATACGTATTTGTGAAACCATCACCCCAATCAAGATAATGAACACATCCATCACCTTCAAAAGTATCCTC